CGTTCTTTTACCAAACGATTCATCAGAATTTCACATTCAGACTTCAGTGTTTCGATAAAATCCCGTTGCTGTTCTAGAAGTTTTTTCGATTCTGGAAAATTGAATGTGTACCAGCAAAAAACAGAACTTCAAGAAAGAAATGCGGAATAATACAAAACGTCAGCATTAGACTCAAATTACAGATTCACGAAACATAATCTGCGGTCTGTTATTTGGAAAATTATTTCACAATCTTCTTTAATGCTCAAAGGAATTTGTCTGTTCCTGATTCACTCATCTTAACAGTCTACAGTTAAAAAGAAATCTTTCATGTTGTAGAAGTTTACTAACGTGGCGACATTTCATTTGCACCCAAAGTAAGAAGTGAAGTGCGTAATGTCATGTTTTCATCAGCTAAAATGGATAGTCTTGCTGCAAGCAATTTATCTTCTTCGTCGCGTTTTGCCAATTCTTTCGCAGCAGCCTTTGTAAGATCATTTAGAAGTTTTTCTTTGGCGACAATCGAATCCTCCAACATTTTCAACTGTGCCTGAAAATACTCGGATAACAAATGATGGAAATGTTTATAGAAACGTTATCCTTCTAATTTACAACATTATTCAACAGTTGGTGAAGCTCATGAATAAATAAAAAATCACAAGCAAAGTTAGCAAAAAAAAAGAACAAATACAATATGAAATAGAGAATCTTTGAAACTAATGTACTAACTAAACAACTGGTTGATGACTATGACGAAGACATGACGAAAGTGGAAGGGAACTTAAATAAAATGTAAAGTTAATGGTTGGAAAGAAGAGAATTCATAACTTCATACAATGCAACATTTTATGCAATAAAAATTGAGCCTAATTTCACGTGGACGAGGTACAGTTTGTTAGTTCTCGTGATTTAACAGTTGTAAATTTGTGAAAAAGTTATACAAATGTATCCCACTATAACCTCAGTAGAGGAGAACAATGATAAATTGAAAATGTTCTATAAATTAACTGGACGACAAAAAGTTTACCTTCATGGTTCTGTTTTCTGCATTTAACTGATCACATTCTTCCACTTTACCAACCAAATGACTATTTAGTTGTGAAAATTCGTTATTCCTTGCTTCACGTTCTTTTTCCATCAGTTCATTCAAATGGTCAATATGAGCCTGAAAATCGTTTTATCCTATTTTCAACAAGGAATTTACAGAGGTATAATATGAATTATATCCTATTAGTGAATTGCTGAATCTCAGTTTACAATGCATACTTTGTGCCCGTAAAAGATCTATAAGTCAATTAAATATATCAGTTAGTTCTACAATACAAACCTGTTTTAATGAATCTGCCTCAACTGCATGGGTTAATTCCGTTTTTTTAATTTCTAGTTCTTCTGATAAATTATCTGCTTTGAGACGTGCTTTTTTTATCTCTTCCAAGCAATTCTCTACTATCAATGACTTTTCAGCTTCATTAGGCAAGACTCCTCCAATTTTCGGAGCTTCTTTGAACAAATTCTCTGCATATGCCAGTTTCTGCAAGCAGCTGGAGTTAACAATAACCAGGTATTTTCGAAAAATTGAACAGATAGTGAACCACATAATACTCAACTTCGAGATCTGGTTTTAATTACTTATCAACTTTGAAAATTGGAACCAGATGCACAAAATAGGCAACAAATAACTAAAACTGAATACCATTGAAATTTACCCTATTCTTCGTATCATTATTGTTGATCTGTTGGGAGCTTCCGTTTCGAAGGATAAGCAATTCTGATTTACAGGTCTCCAATTCACCAAGCAGTGCTGACAGCATTTTGTTTTGCTTGTCCAGCAATGCTGATAGTTCCAAGACGTTTGGACTGGTGTCAGCCACATCTGCAAAAAAGAATGAATCCATCACCCTTTGAGACAGCTCAAATTCTAATGATCCGGAATAAGTGTGTGGATCAAAGTGAACAACATCCAGACCAATTTCTGACTGAAATAATTTATACGCACGAAATCACAGGAACGACGTAACTGAAAGAAAAATAAAGATATCACTACCACCATTCTCTACCAGCAAAGTTGCATAAACTGATAAAACTTATTGTTATAGTTTATTCTTTATTGAGTTCAGTCCGAAAATGTTCAACAAAAACACATGAAAAACATAAAAATCAAAAAAAGAAAAAAACACACATAAAAAGCAAGGCGACCCCGAGAAACATGAAACGTGCTCATGCGAAGCTTACCTACTATATTGCAGCTTTCAGTCATTTGCAGTTCCGGAAAAGATTTAAGACAGCATTTTTTTAATCGGATCCAAAGTGATTTTGATACACACACACATACTCATTGAAATAAGCATCGACAGCAGTTAGAACTAAACAATACTAAATAGATATAACCGTGATTTTCAGCCTTATCACATCTATATTAGTCTGATGCAAAAGTAATAACAGTTTCGAAGTTTAAATTTGCAATTACAACGGCTTAACGATAATTTTGTCAGAAAGAAACTCGAAATGCAACACTTAACACATTCTTATCGAAAAGCAACAGATTTGTTTTCACAGTACAGAAACTTGTTTTGGATTCTACGAACTCAGCAAAGGTTGATAAAGGGTTCGACGAGTGATTATGGCATACTTGTCCAAAAGGTGTTGATATTCGAACGTTTGGTCAGCTGTAGTACAAAATTAGATCCTTTCACTGACCATTACAAATCTGAAGGCATTGCACTACATACTGATCAGCAGTTCCTAATGATTTTATAAAATTCTGAAAATAACTGAAACCTTTTCCTGTACAAGCTCTATTTTGAGAAGTGAGTTAGGACTTTCAAACAATTGAAACAGCCGTTACGATTGTCCATTTTTAATTATCCGTCAACAACCCAATCGAGAAAGTCGTTCTTTGCGTTGCACAAGATCACACCTCAAAATGAAAACGCTTTTGATCAAAGGTCAACCTATAAGTTCTCTGACAAACTTGTAAACTGATCTCCAGTTCGGAAGGATGACGGATGATCATCGGACAGCTAACGTTATGCTCTCTGATACCTTCTCAATAAGTTTAATTAACAGTTCCCATTACTGATCTCAACCTGACAATCCAATCAACACTGCAGTACTACAGTCCAGTGTTCTTGTTTGCTTTAAAAAAATTAACTAATAATGCACTGCGGCACTGCAACTCATAAGTAGCTCTCATGCCAAATTCATTGTTGATATTGAAAGATGCCTCAGGAGCTTACGAACAACTTTAAAATTAATAAAGGAAATCATTAGAAGTTGATATCACCTAATACCGTTTCCTTAATCTAAATAAGTAATAAATAAGCTACAAGCTAAAAACCTAATATCATAAATGAGTTATACTAATGACAGATGTATTCGCCTAATATGAAATAACATAATTCAGCAAGGCATAGTAAACAATACTTCTCTATCAACTCAAAGTCATATTAGAGGAGTCATTCACTAACGCATTATATTATGAAACCTGTTAGAACAGATAAAAACTCGACCAGTAACTGGAAATGAAACAGGTTCCTGTCTTAAAACTACTCATTAAATATTAAGCCTTAAATCTCACAACAAATTCCAAGGATGAACTAGCAGTGCCCTTCATTTTCATCACGAAAATACCTTTCAAACTTGTTGAAACCGTTCATTTAGCATCATTCGTGATACTATACCAATGAAAATATTGCAAAACTCTTAAATCGATTCAATTAAACTAAGAATGAATAAAAAAGGGGAAATAATTAAAATAAATTTTTCTGGATATCAACCAAACAACCAAATTCTCTCTAACCGAAATTAGAATTTTTTAAAAATTGTTTTGCGACAAATGATATTTTTATTCGATCATAACGAATCACCTTTTTCCTTTCTTTTATGGAAAGAAGAAAAGAAAAAATGCAGGCAGGAAACAGTGAAAAACACATATGGAACCTAAGGAAAGAAAGAACAAGTGAATTTAGAAAAAAAAAAAACTTTCAAGTATTCTGCTTAAAAATGAAAGAGATGATGCTTATAAATTGTACAAAAAAAAATTTATAACAAACTTTAAAAAATTATGGAAGAATCACGATAAGCCATTCATCAGTTGTGCAAGCAAAAAGCATCGGAACTATTTTTACCATAACGCCTTTATGAAGAACTACATAGATACAGTAAGCCAATTATGCCGGAACTGCACGGGAGAATAATTCAGATCAATGTAGTAAACCATTGTCGCGATATGTCTGTGTAAAGGAGTGATGTGAATAGAGATAAAAACAAAACAAAAAGCTGTCATTTCATGAAAAAGCGGATGAATATCTATCCATGATTTTACATCAGTATAAAACTACCAAATTTCACGAAAAATTAATGAAATCGATGCCCTCAGTATTCCGTTCCTGAAACCGTCGAAAAATTATCTGTCATCCCTCGTTATGTATCACATACCTCATTCTATGGGCTCAGCAAATCAGCAAGGAAAGCTCACTAATGTAAATGTTGGCTCGTGAAATAAGCGAAGTAATGGGGAATGCGAACAGAACTACCACCTGAAAGCAAAAGACCAAAATTGGAAAGGACGACCGGTTCCGATCCCAATGTCCGACATTATGCATTGTCAGGATTTAACTTTACAAAATCAAAAGATTCTTCCGACAAAAAAAAAAAAAAAAAAAAAAAAAAAACGAGAAATAAATATCATAGTGACAAGACTTGGATATTCAATCACATAAGCTTGCTACATCGAAAACTCAGCAAAGGTTCTGCAAATGGGTTCGTAGCATTACATTTTGGGCCTAAGTTCATGTCGTTTCAAAGCATTAACCTTATGCATTCAAGGACGACAAAATCCAAAACAGTTATAATAACATCTACTTCAGGAAGTAACTGAACTGAATTTCGAAAATATTAGAACTGGTAAAACAGATTTTTAAAAACATAATGAAAGTTCTACAGAAGGAAAACATTCATCATTATGGAATCATTGGGGGAAAGCATACGACTAGCACCTTCAAAAAATACAATCCATATAATTATTCCTTCTGCGTTTTAAGTTTAAGAAGAAGAGTCCTTAGTCGTGATAAATCACTTGATGTTTTCGAATTTTTACCACTGAATTCGCATAATTTTGCAATACGTTCCCACTCGGCTCCATCTTTGAAAGCCTCACGATCAGAAATGAAATCTTCTTCGGCTTTCCTTCAAATTTATAAAGAAATGCTTAACAACAGACGACATTAATACCAGATTAATGCAAAGCTGGAACGAGGTGCAAAAACTGTTATTCAAATTCTACATACTATATAGAGAATGAAGACATTCTTGTCTTTTTGGTTCCTTGAATCATGGTACACTAGAGAACTTAAATAAATAAAGCATTATTCATTTTTAAAAAATCATCTACATCTATATCATCTACCTTTATAAACAGAACAAGCAGGAAATTTTGAAAAAAAAAAAAATACCGATTGACTGCCCTGGTTTTTGCAAGTCTTTCTGCCCTTTGCGCATACCATTCTTCTAATTCTTTCTTACCAGCAGCTCTCATTTCCTCCTTCTTTCTCTCTTCATTTTTATCTGTAGAAAAAACCGATAAATGTTAATTTTGTATAAAAATTGATCTGTTTATAACATGTTGTATAAACAACCTGCTACAAAAGCACCATCTCTAAACAAATATGCAAAGTAATATACATCATATGCTATCAGTTTCTCACTTTTTGGTGATATTCCCGTTACAGTTATTCAAAAATTTTTTTTTTCTTCTTAACCACTAAATAAACAAATCTCAATCAGTTCACTAATGAATGCAAAGTTCAGTGCATTATGGCTGTTTGTACTGGAATAAAATTTTCATATTCTCAAACGGCAATCACACATTATCGGAGGGAATAATATTTAGTTTTTTTATGTAATATCACTCGTTATGTAATTAACACTGCCTACTCACAGCAAAAATTTTTATACTCTCATGAATAAGTTTGAAAAAAAAAAAACAAAAATGTCACCTAACTTTTCTTGTCCAAGATAGAAAAAAATCAAACGACTCATACCTTTCTTCTCTAACATTATTTTCTGTTCTTCTCGCCATTTCTTTATTTTCTCCGGTTCCGGTTTTGACATATTATTCATCGCTGCAAGAGAAGGTGATGGAGTTGTGTTTAAACGCCGCACACCATTTGCTAGTGTTGGAAGATCCAAACCGGAATCACTAGTCCCGCTTAATAAACGGGTTTCGTTTACACAAGCAGTATCATTTCCTAAAGTTCAAAATATGTTTAAAAATAAATTTAATAATCACATCGGCACAATCCATCCAACTAAGAAATTCTTCCATTTTATAAATGTCACCAAAGAACTAAATCCAAATTAAATAGCTATTTCGAGTGTACACCAATCGAGACTTTACGAAGATAACTTCATAAAATTCTTTATCACTTTCTAAAAGTTCCTACTTCCTCTCGACAAGTTTTGGCTGAAAATACCACACTGATCTCATCCTGCATTTAACCTAAACTGTTCCTGATGTCAACGCATGCCTCATAGTTACGCAAAAGAAAAAAAAAAAAAAAAAAATAGAAAAGAAATAGAAGAGATTTCCTTCACCATAACACATACCGTTATCAACTGCATCATTACTATTGACGTACGGAGGAGGACTGGTTCCTAGCGAATCATCTTGTATACCAGCCAGAACATTTTGCTCACGTGCCAAAAATTCCGCAACTGGATCTGACATTACTAATACAAATAATCCTACTGTTTCCTGAAACCAATAGAAATACGAGTCATTTAAAATAAAGAAGTTTAAGAATTTGAACGGATAAGTCCGAAACCAGAAATAATGGTAAAACTAGACAGAAAAATACTGCATATGCATGATTAAACATGGAAGAAACAAAAAACTAAACAGACACAGAACTCTCATCATGTCATCATATTTGAAATCATCTCAGCAGTACTTTGTCTATCTCATTTAGAACCGATAATCTGAATAAATCAATGTGACCTGAACTATTCATCCATTCCTGCCCCGGAAAATCAATGCATAAGAGAAGTACACAACGACAACTTAACGTCACCAACTAGCTCACTACGGTATCCCAAATTTCTGTTTTTGGTACCATTCCTCTTGTTGCAGCGTTTTTCGTGCCGGAATGTTTAGATCATTCCAACCGGTTCTTCACTCTCAGATATGACTTAATGATTGACGGAAGAGGAGGTAGGGAAGAAGGGAGAGGGAGAGAAAGGGGAGGAGGGAGAGAGATTGTTATTAATGATTACTGATGAGGGATACTTCCTTATCACATTTATTCTTTGGTCCGTTCTCATACAAGTTCCTTCTAAAGTGCGACTGCTATTACTTTACATTATCAATCGAAATATAAAGTTATAACAGTCTTTCGTTGAGCTTAGACTATCATTCTGGAACACTCCCGTTCTCCGACTAGTAGTATTCTGTTAACAGCATTAGTACGGAAGTGAAGAATTTAATCAGTTGTGAGCTAGAAAGGTCAGTCATCTCATGAAAGAAGATGGGAATAATCAATTAACATAGAAAAATTTTTGAAATATTAATCAACAAAGAGATGACGAACATTACTGGCTTTTAAAATGAACTCGTTCTATTTAACAAACAATTTCGCTGTCTTGTAGTCGGGCCGATAGCAGAATTTCTTCAGATTTAATCTAGATCCACTCAAATAGTACTCTTAGAAATATTCGGAATCTGGTTGAAAAAGGAGTGGAAGAAGTGAGTTGCAGCGAAAAAAAAGAGGAATAATTTATTGTCACATCAACGGATGCTAACACCTTAACGAGGTATTACAGAAAAGTTCATTAAAGCTCTTAAGTTTGTTAGACATTCATTCTCTTACATTTCAGAGCAAAAAAAAAAAAAACTAAAGAAAACAAACTTTGCAGAATAGAGACTGGAGATGGTACCTTTTGATGTCAGCAAATTAGCTATGACCATTGATAGATATTAAGAGATTCAAGCGTGACGTGACGTGACATTCGCTGCCATTCGCTGGTATTAAACAATAAAGAGAATAAAATGGCGTAGCATTGGTTTGCGTCAGAACTCAATAGGAAGAATGATTGTATTTGCAATGTTGAAGCAACTGGATAAGCTCTGAAGAGCGATTACAAGATGAGATTACTTAAAATCTTTTCAGTGGAATCTTTAAGGTAGCACGAATTGTTCAGATCAAGAAGAGATGAATTACTGGCGCCCATGCTTTTAGATATAAGTCAACTGAATAAGACGATACAACATCCTCTATATGATTACAGAATCGGGAAATGCGACAGAAGAGGGTGAAAGGTCAGCCTCTCCTTTTCCTTCCAGATGGAAAGGAGCTCCCAATCTTCCATTTCATATTATTTCCGGTTTATAAAGTTGCTGTGGGCCAGTTCATATTATATTTTGCAAACAGTCAGAGTACAAATCAACACACAACAATGCAACAATATCGAAGAATAACGCATCCTGCATATCACTCACATATTCTACAAACTAACCAAATGTAATTCCAAATATACTACATAAACAAGTATCAAACACTGAACATCACACAAGGACCATCTCATATTGGTACCATTCCGTCCTTCATTTCCAATTTTCGTATATTTTTGTCTTTTCCGGGATTCACTCACTGACCTATCAATTCGATCACCATCGCCATTACAGTAACTACCCAAACAAAAGCAATATTCAGCATTCAGCATATGTTGGCGAACTTTAATCGTTTGATTTCGGCATCTTCGATTTCCAATATCGTTATCCGAATTCCGACTGTAATATTTTTTTTGGCAATCTCGCATCATTCCTAAAACAAACAGCAGAAAAGTTTTTGATTACCACATAGTTATGCTTTATGCTTGATTCAAATACCATCAAGAATTTATTATATTTGTTTTCAAAGAATTAATAAAAATTAATCAACTTTTTAAAATTCAAGTACTAAAATTACTGAAGAAAATCACTGTTAGTATTTAGATAATTCATCAAATTGAAAACCGCACTATTGGATGATATCCCTTTGCATAAATTCAGTTTATTAATTGATAGAAGTGAAAGGGAGTAACATATACCTATAACTCGAGTTCTGTTACCTTCACCAATGGTGACATTCACTGTTAGACATGGACCAACACATTGTACTTCTTCTGATCTTTCATTAATTTTTATACATACCGAATCGGCAACCAATTCATCGTCTGCTTGAATTGGGAGAAAATGTCCCCAATACTGAAATTTTCAGAAAAATTAATGCAGTTATTAAAACAATGAAAAATTAGCTACATAATAAGCTTTTAAGTAATACTACTTATGCAACTGTTGACAACATTTGAAAAAAATCCATGTGAAACAATTTGCTTAGAGCAAAAATAATTTATTATATAGCAAATAATGACCGAAACATAACACATAGTGGATGATGACCAAGACATATAATAGGTCAAGAGTGGTCAGTTCGAAAAGCCTAGTATTAGTCAGCTAACAAACAATTCTTTTTATCTCTACTCATTTGACAGGCACATCAAAGAAAGCTCATTTAAAATAAATTAAAAAAGAAGAAAACATCAAACCATAACAATGAATTCGTTAGCACATCGATAGCAAATTTCGGATCCAGCAAAGAAAGGACAATTCAGGAAGGTTAATAGTAAAACCGGAATGAACGTTGTTTCAGTAGTGGTATGCATTGAATCAATAGTGGATATAATTAACGACATTTGTTGATGCTATTCCCCTCCCCTCTCCTCTTCTCTCCAGAAACCGCCTGTTTTCAACCAGAGGTTGCACACGATCGGTCAGATCTCTTCACTTTTTGTCTTTCCCTCTCTCTTCCACAACACATGTCACCTCACCATTACCGTCACCGTCACCGCCACTCCAAGCTATTCAGTGATTAGCCAGTACCGAGGTTCTTCATTCTTACCAAATCATCTTTGAATCTGACTCACTACCTTGATCTAAATTCATCTCAGTATCCGTCTTTCATGCTAATCTCTTCCTCTTTAATCATTTAATTTCCTAACTTCCAATGTCGAGAAAAACAGCCTTTAATATACTTTTACCACATTAATTTCATAACTTACAATGGAAGTATATTTTAGAGGCTTTTTTGAATCTATCACCAAGTTGTTTTTCTTGGCTAATTATCGATTCAAATTTTGAGTCAAATTTATAATTTTTTTCGCTTAGTAAATACTACAAATGAATTCAAATTGATGTTTCTCATGATGTGAGTCGTAATAGTTTGTTGGAATCACAGAGCTTTTTCAATGAAATTCTCAATATTATCAAACAGCTTAAACAAGTAGTAACATACTACTTGTTAATACTCATACAAAAGTCAGTTTTCAAAAGATTTTACCGGAACAATGATTCAAAGAAAAAACAGTAGCATGGAATAAAATGATGAATAAGTTAATCAGAAATATACCCGTAATAAACGACAGCATGCATCACAATTTACATATCAATTGTAATTACAGATTTCAATATTACTTTGGTTTAACTGTAAATTAATATATATATATATATATATATATATATATATATAATCTGGCAATATCGCATTATAAAAGAGTAGAGCAATTTTATTTCTAAATCAAGAAACTAAAAATATCTATTTTTCTGAAGGATCAACAAAACGGTATTGAACACATTGATCTGACGTATTGAGTGGCAGGGATCTCTTAGTAGATTCGAATACGATTGAATGAAATTTGATAAATCGTTGATCTATTTGGTTCATTAAAGCTTACCGTCATAAGAAACTTAGCAATACGTACAAGTTATAATTCGGAAAACGATCTTTTTTTTCCCCTGTACTTAAGAATAATGAGATTAAAACAAATTTCATAACAAATTAAATTGAAATAAAGCTACTCTAATCAATAATCTGACAAATTTGAACAAAATATATAAATTTTAAAAATATTCATCGATCACCGTAAAGTACTACTAGAATCATTCATTTCGGAAAGAGATATGCATGAAGATTCATCTTCGAATACTTCTTCACACGCCAAAGATGGTGCCACATCATCTGTATTTGGTGATTCAGGTGAACTTGCTACCCTTAAATATTTTAATTAAACCATATCTAATTATCTTCTATGTTTGATTCAAGGAAACAGCAGTAAATCCACTCCTTTCTTGATCACATTTTTAAAAATGATTGTAAAAAATGGTAATGAATAGATGTTTAGCATAATATTCAACGATGTAACTAATGATGCTTCATTAAGTGAAAGCAGAACAGCATCGAATAATACAATAATAAAATAATTCTAAAGATTAATTAGCAAATTTTTAAATATTCAGTAATTAATTTACCGGTAATAACATCCTGCATCAAAACGAGAGGGATTCTTTTTCGAATGAGGTCGTAGATGCAATAGCATTTTGCATGCTGCAGATGCGAAGCACTCTGTTGTCGTATCATCTGTCGAATCATGTTCTGATGTGGCACTTGTTGCTCGTATCCGAGAAATCGATCTGGAAATAATGGAAGATTTGTTTTGCACAGAATGTAAACAATATTTATAGATGTGATAACAAAAAGAAAAAGAATACTTTAAATAAGAATTAAAGCCAAAATCGAAATTTTGAACTTTGAAATTTCCAATCCAAAATGATGATCAGAGTAATATGAGGGAAGATAGATGAGGAAGGGTGAACAAAATGTGTCATTGTAACCTCGTCAACTTAGTTGCTAACGCATATGCCAATACTATCAGTAACGTTTGGTTCTGATAGTACTAAGTGAGTTACTTCTACCATTTGCGACGCCACTATCGGACGTCGAACATACGGAAACCTTTCAAACGTGGCCCATAGCAATAACCGTTCCCTCCAACCTAAAAGTTGGTAAGGTCTTGGTGATGGGTCTATGAAAATAATGAAATGCAATTTGAAAGTCATTTGTTGGAAGGTTAAAAATAAAACTGAAATTATGAAAGTTTTAAAACGTACTTGATACCAGGTAAAAGCTTCCGGGTCGTTCTGGCCGATTCTGTTACTGTAGTTTTCCAGCTATTAATTCGACGACACTCTACAACGACACTGCCTCTACAAGTTCGATGTACAGTAAGTCCACAGTCATGACATTTGAAACCTTGTCGAATTATACCCCATAACTACAACATATTCAGATATTACTTTTCATCCTATCTTAAAAGTCATCCGTTATAAATTAAGCAAATTGGTCGTAAAGATGTAAAAATTAAAAAGAATGAAACATTTCTGAAAAACGAAATTAAGTATTTCTGATATGCAATTTTCAACAACAATGAATATTTGGAATTTTTTTTTTTTTGTTAAAGAAAATATCAGAGCAACCTACCAATTACATCTAATATGATCATAAGCATTACATTAATTAACAGAAAAATTGTTTTTTTTTTTTTTTTTTTTTTTTAGAAAATAATAACTTCTTACTAATTTATCGCAGTGAGCACATATTGCAGGTGTCAGAAAAGTTGTTTCATGAAAATTATGCTGAAATTCACGGCGAAAATCTATAGATTGCTTGCAAATTTTGATAAAGTAAGCATTCATTTCAGGTTTACTAATAACTCCATCCCTGCAAAAATTCAAACATTTCTCTGCTAATTGTGCAATTAAGTAACTCATTTTATATTTTTAAAATTTAAAAAAGAAATTCCAGGATTTAATCATTTATTCAAACATTTATAATCACTCGAGAAAGTATTACTGGGAACAGTTATAGATTTGCCATGTAATCAATTGCATATGTGTGTATGTACATGTATGTATGTATATATATATATATATGTGTGTGTGTGTGTATGTGTGAATTCACATCAAATTAAATATTTGTTTATTTTACAACCCTTTGGAGTTATTTCACATTTTACAGACGATATGAATTACTATTTACACATCATTTTTGTTAGTAGAATTTAGATATTAAACTTTTAGAATAGTAACATTTCTAATCGATCTTAATGTCATTACTATCTGCAAAAGTCATATACTTCGCTTGCAGGACATTATTTCATAAAATTTTCAATTCTTATTTCACATTCAAAATTACCATTGCTAGTATTCGATTTACTAGCAATGAAACATTTATATTATCCCTAATGTAATAATGAAAACTCGAATTTTATTTTCGTCAATAAACTGATCATTTTGAAGAAATGTTAGAAAATTTTTGATGAGTGTTGAAAACAACCACTTCTTTTTATTCTTCTTTCACATTTTCTTAGAACTTCAATTGTTCTCATCTAAGAGAATACTAATAAATGCATATAGAAGAAACAAAACATTACTTATCAGTGTCGATAGCTCCAAAAGGAGCAATAAATGGAAAATTAGTTGAAATTTGTTGGAATTCACTTTGAGAAATGGAACCATCCTTATTGTGATCATAATTTTTAAATACAGCTTCCACCATTGCGGTAATATGTTTGTTGACAATTTCTGAATCCAACGTACTACTCACACCTGATGCCCAATCAGCAAATAATACCGATTTTGTTGAACTTTGAAACTACAAATAGAAAGTGATAATTAATTATTATACATAATGAAATACACATATAAGGAAAGGAAATTTAGTTTATTCTACTTTCTTTGATATTCTGTCATTTGGTATTTAGAATAAGTTAGTGATTTTATTGCTTAGCACTTTTTTTCTTTTATTTACACAAAGACAACTTGTTAGGCTGTTTATTTGCTATAATATTTACAGTAACACTTTCAAATATAAACTTACGCTAAGAATTGTACGAGGTTCATGTTTTAGAGAAAGGCGATAAATATCATCTTCGTTATACCTGATATCCAATGAAACCTGTCGACAATTTCATTTTTAAAAAAGAAAAGAACAGAAAAAATTTAATTGCTGTAGGTTTGGAAATTAATTCCATGTGTTACATACTTGAGAAAATATGACAGTCGAATATGACAATTTAAAAAATTCTTTTATGTATAATCCTTTTCTTTATATTCAGACCAAAAGTTCGAATAAGTTGGAATTTAATTCCGAGAAAACTTGAAGGATTTTCATACTTTGAGCGTATCAATGAGATCAATATTAGCATCGGGAAAATTGTGAGGAGTACGATTAAAATTGACAAAATACGATAAATGATCCGCTAAATATGGAATTTTTCGACACGAAACAAAACAGCAATGTTCTGAGTCTCTATTTTTTATCAGCAAACTTATCAGATCTTTCAGATGGACACCCCTAAAAGTGATCACCTGACGGTTGATAAATATTGAAAATTGCTAGTGAAAATACTTTAAAAAAAAGGAACTTTGATTTGGTTCGAATTTTGACTAATGTCAAATATATCACTAAATAATATAATAAGTATTATTTAGAAAAATGAATATCGTAGAGAAGTTGTATTCATAACCTTAATGCTATGATCGCAAAGATAAGAGAAATACCTTTTGATGATCAAATATTAAGGCTTACATGATTGGGATACAGAATGATCCCGAACTCTCCTGCAGTGCTTTCCGATAAGAAGCAAAATTTGAAGTTGAAGAGAGAAGTTGGGTAAAATGATTAAGTTCCTAGAATAATGATCATCATTATAGGATAACTAAAAATATCAATAAAAATGTGGCAAGTATCATAATAATTATAATTTAAAAGAATTTGTTTGAAATTTCAATTTTTTTTAAAATGATGAACAAAGCATAGAAATACTTTAAATGCTATAAAAATTATTTATGATAAAATAGTATTATTAATTAATATTAGAAAGGAAGGAATCTATTCAGAAATTTTGATTATACAAAAGTATATAACAATTTCAGCTAATGGTCAATTTATAATTAACAATTAATAATAAAACATCGCATAATGACGAAAATAACGGAAAATGACTTTCAGAAGGAATAATAATTTCTAAATAATTTATCAATGACGAAAAAATTCATGAAGCAATGAATGAAATTTATTTTACAAATATTATGTTATAAATCAGAATAAGTAATAGTTGTTTCGAGAAATGACAGAATTTTTAACTAATTAATTAATTTAATTGAAGTTATAGGATCTTTTGTTCAAGTTTTCCGTCATTCACAACAGAAGTTATGAATTTAATGCGTAAAATTAATCAATTTTTTCAACAAATTTATTTATTTATTTATTTCTTGAGGATCTTGAGAAATTTGAGCTTATTGTAAATAAACAAAAAATTAAATAAATAAATAGGTAAACAAAGAAGTAAATAAATAAATAAATGTGCGATTGACTAGTTGATTAAACAAATCGGTCAAATAAACAAATAAACAAAAAAGCAAATAAATAAAATAAATGAATAAACAAATTAAAAAAATTGATTAATCATGAAGTAACTGGATAAACCGATTAATTAATTAAATAAATAAATTCGTTAACCTAAGATATTAATTATGAAAAGAACAAAGATCAAAATGCTGTAAAAGAAACCTTTCTCAAATCACTTGATAAAGCGGATGTTGTTTTTGATAATCGAGCAATGTTGCTGTGTGATACACCGCCAATAACAGCCATTAAAGTATTGAAATTATTCATTCGCCTAAGGCACTGCAATCAATGAAACATATTGAAATGCATTGTACAGAAGCCAAGAAGGATTTGAGGGAAAGCAAATATTAAAATTATTTGGCTCATACTATTGTGAATAATGCAGTAAATGAAAATATTTTTACAAATAATTTGATATCAAAATAATTTATATAATTACGATGAGATAATTGGAATTAGTGAGTTTTCCTTTCCGCTAAACTTATATTTTTATTTAATGTACGAATTTCAATTAATTGCAAATTAATTTTATTGTGTAATATAGCAACAGAATTATAGGGAATTTTTAAACTGAAATATAGGATGGAGATAAAGATAAAAGATAGACATCGATGAATAGATACAAGCAAGAAGAAAAAGGTGTTGAAATAATCAGGAATATCCAAATTTCCTGATTCTGCAAACCAGAAACTATAATATCTAACAGTAGTAATGACAACCTTTGCCACGTGAGTGAATTTAGTAATCATTTCAGCACGTTCAACAGGCGTTCCTTTATTCAAAATCATACATTGTATCCAGTTTGATAAACTCTGCAACCGGAATATTTAAGGGATTGTTTCAGAATGTATATAAGTGTGTGATTAAACTAATTAGAAATTAGAAGACTAATGAAGAGTAGTCAGCATATATTTTATAGGCTGAAAGATCACTCCAACGTCATTTATTTATGTTTACATAGAAACAGGAAATGTGTATTCTGTAATGATACACATGATATTTTCTTTTTGAATTATCAAATTTAAAATAACCAAATTTAGTCATTAAGAAATTTTAGATTTTAATTTGGGTTTATAAAAAAAAAAAGCTTTATATTAGCTAAGCAATTGGTATCATTAATAAGATCCATTCTAGCAACACAGTCTAGTGTTTTGAGTCATATAACTTACATTGAAAATTGAAATAGATCTCTCTAAAAAGGGCGTATGTGAAAGATTGCCATCTATACAATACTGCTTCAGTTCACTAATCTAAAATTTATAAAATTATTAAAGCAATTCACAAAATGTCTTTCACTAAATTAATTATAAGAATTAACTAAATTAACTTTTCTGTGCCTTTCACTAAATTAACTTTTCGGAAATCACTCACTGGAATCCTGAATAAAGCTTTATAATCTATATGACTCAATGATACAGCAATTTCTTCAGGACTCCACTGATCAAATGATAATGAACATTGATGGCTGACAGGATTTCTAATCGAGATATTTCGAAGCCACGAATAAGAAGGCCTGAAATTAATCAGTATCCTCAGGAAAACCTTGAAAATGTCAAAAATAGATAATGTTTCTAGGCTTTTCTTCATTGGATCTTGCATTAGATTCACTTTAATTCCTAATTTTTAATTATATTTATTTTAGTTCCTACTATGATACTACAAGAGTTTTCAAACAACAAATTAATAGTGATTTCAAGCATTTTTATTTTAACGAAGCTAAAAATGCAGCTTGACCGAATAGAGCCGAAATAATTATTTAGATAACATTACAAACAAGTTTATCAATAAGATATAATTTTTTAAAAAAATTTAATTTTTAAAGTTTTGCAGAAAATTTTCTATAAAAATAAATATGAATAAATTTCAAAAAATTCATGAAAACAGCGAAAGTGTTTTTATATAGAGAATAACTTGTATTTGAATGCAGCAAATGAGAGAAATTATTTAGATTAGAAACAACAACTTTTTATTTATTTTAGAATTATATAGAAAGGTTTCAATTGAATAAAGAAAAAGTTACAATAAGAAAACATACAATGATGAGAGGTCAAGAAGTGCTGCAGAATTGGGCACATTTCTCGATACAGCTAACAATTTAAGGCGTTCAACAAGCTTACATAAAGGTGCATCGAAATGTGTTGGACATATCCGGATCCAGTATCCAACTGCTCGACATATCCGTAAACGAGTACCACTGTCATTCACCGCATCCTAAATAAATTTTTCGACTAGATAAAGTAACACTGCAATTCTTGCTCTTTTGTTCAAAGATCATTTTACTGATAAAAATTACTGATAATATTCGTAGTTACTACTGTAGAACTAATATTTCAATTCGGAATGAAAGAATTTAAATGGAACATCACTAAAATTTAAATAAAAATGTGTTTAAAGTATCTTACATACATAAAACTTTCTTCTCTTTTCTCAGTAAGTTCATCAAACTGATTGATTGATTGATTATATGTTGAATAATAATGAAACATATTATTTTGGAAAAGATTTACATAGAACTTTCTTCACTTTAACTATCTATTGAATCTGTGTGAAAATTAATAATTAAGAAAATCATATCACTAACACTTTTATTCACAAATTTTATGATTATAAGTTAGGTCGCATATGAAATTAATCATTTTTGTCATTTCTTAATTTTTACGGAAAAGTTTTGTAATTTTAATTCAAATCGGATAAATGACAATGTAACAATGAATATTGTGAATTACGGATTAAACATAGTGAAAACTCAAAAGATATTCCTGAAGAGAAAATTGAAATTTGGTAATCAAATTAAGAAGAAAAAAAATTGACTAACTAAAAAAATTGATATGAAATGTGCCATCAGCTCACAACTGTTAACAAACCATTCATGAACATGAAATAATGCCCATGGAAGAGAATCTTTTCCTACATCTTCGTCACCATCTCAAATTGAAATTATCAACTGCATGAAAACATTGACAAATTGAATTATCATGTTGTTAAACTTAAAATCTTTATTATTTTATAGCACAATTTTCAATTAGTGTTAAGCAATAAGCAGAATAAAGGTGTAATTTTCATGAAGTCAAAGATTATATGATGATGTTAATAACTGAGTAATAGTGATTATCATTAATTCAATATATTGAACATTTACTTACATCCAGCTGTTCTGTAACAATATTTTAATTTTATCTCAAAGCTTCATTTGATTTTTGTAAGAAAAAGGAAAAAATAAACTAACCAAAAAATGTGATACAAATTTGGACAAGTTGAGGTACTGTAAGAGGTGTATTATGGCTGACTGTGATTGTTGTCATAAAGATAAGAATTGCTGCTTGCTTATCATTATTTTTATCCTTAGATTACAACCAACCGTATCATCCAATTTGAAACACATCTTAATATTTTTAAATATATTTAATACTTTGTAACAAATATACATCAATAATTTTTAGTGAACTAAAACATAATTTTGAAATTGGTCGGATAATTAAGACAAGATTAAGCTTAAGTATTGATAATAATAATAACAATTACCATTATCAATTCAAAGATTATTAAAAGAATAATCTCCAATTCACTTTTTGTAGCAAATTTTTCAGCATAGCAATAAATTGGATTCAATTATACCAGGTGATGGAATAAAAGTTAAAATGTAATTTGCTTTCAGATTGTTTCCTTTTAACTTGTCGTGTCTCTCTTTTTTCCATCTGCTTAATATTAAATGATCGATGTATAATTCAATTGTATATTAGACGACAAATCGTAAACAGAAAACAAATTAAAAGTCCTATAATATTCTATTAATATAATATAAATAGCAATAAATTATTTGCGATCATTCAACAACTCTTTAGCATTAATTGTAATTGTTAAAAATAAGAAGAAAGAGTGCTTAAAAGAAATGTAACAGTCAGTAATTTAATGTAAAAAAAAATTTTTGGAAAAAATTTTTCGAAGTTTTTTGAACTTATGGAATATTTATGATATAATTATTAGTTAGAATATATGTAAATAATACTTCAAGTGAATGAATCAATTACAGTATGAATCATTCAAAATACACATACATCTTTAAGTCTGAAGGTGTATGTGTATTGGTACTGGTAAAACTTTTTATTAAAGGTGTAAGGAAATTGAAGGAAGAAAAAGTAACTTTAAGTTCAGAAGCATATGATAAAATTATGCATAGCAAAAGATAAAATATAAAGCAAAAAAAAAATGCAGCATTCATGTGTTAATGCAAAGAAAAAGCTAATGAATTCATTTGGCTATTAAAATCGCTAGCCACTTTTAAGAAGTCCAATCATCCCAATTTACCTAGAGTAATTCAGATGAACTCAACTAATCAGAATATTCTGATTCGTTTAGTTAGTACACTAGGATAGCTTATACAGTAATAACATATTTAAGGATGCAAAAAAAAAAAAAAAAAAAATCAATTTCAGAAACAAAAAGGAAAAAACTTTAAGAAATTGCAATTTTGTTTTTGATATAAATTCTTTCGTATTCTTCTCAATGATAATTGCTAGTATAGTTTGTTAGAAAAGCATACAAAACGGAATGAACATTTTGTGTAAATAAAACGTTTGTAAATATAAAAATAAATGAGTAATTTAAAAAGTGAAAATTTAAAATTAAAAATTAAAATTCTGGTAAAAACTATTATTGGTTTTCCTCGAAATGGTTTATCGAGAAAAATTTAATTCGTCTTTGCCCTTCCTTTTCTGCTTGTAAACTTATATATACTAACTTATTTGGAAAAAAGGAGAGAGAGAGAGAGGGATAACAAGGAATAGAGAATAAGGGAAAGAAAGTAAAGGATTGAGCAATGGTATCAATGAAAAGCACTGAACAAGCATCAACACCGATGCATCGGATCAACCTCAAAAAGGTCTGTGAGTTTTATTTGAAGCAGAAAAATGCCTTTGGATCGGTCAAATCCTAGGCTCTCCTAAGTACTTGTCCACTGGAGACAAATGCACAGATGGCATACACAGATGAGAGCAAAGCGGAATCAATACTTTCGATGTCACCCGTGCAACAAGGAGAGAATGCTGTCATTATTATCCCACCGAAGCACAAAATTTCCTCATAAACACATTGGAAGAACGAACGAGCAAGCACAGAGAAAGAGGAACGAACAACCGATCAAACAACAATTATTTTATTTGAGACAGAACTGAAGTTGGACTAAAATCAATATCAAAATTAAAATTGGTTCATCTTTACCAATCAATAGATATGTTGTTATGATCAAAGAATAAGTGCTTTCCAGCATTTCATATCACTTTTATTTCATTTTATTCTAGTAGTGTTCATTTCAAATATTATCTAATTAGCTCAACTTATTTCAATTAAAAAAAAAAATTCAAGAAAAAAAAAATGAAAAATTATTTTTTAAAATTTATTACTTACTTACTTGACATACTTAAATGTGGAATACTTTAACATTCCAGCTAAACAGTATTTAATTCATATTCAATTCCAATGTAAACATTGATGCATATGCATTCATTTCGGGTTTGTCAAATCAATTGGATGAATTAGTTAGAATGATCCGATGATCGAGAATGATACAGATGAGTAATCGAAAGAGTGTGTTTTATTCATCAAAAACTTATCTAATGATCCCAATAAAATTTAAAATAATTAGATCATTTCGCAATTTCAAATTTTTATTATTAATCACAGAATTGCTACAGAAATTATTACTTGCTCAGGAGTTTTTTTTGTCTTTTTTTTCCGTTTTTTAAATCTAAATCGCTTTCATGGTAACTAAATATAACTTTGAAGAAAAAGCATTTTTGAATCAACGAAGTTTTCCTTTATATCTGCTCTGTCAAACCAAAATGATTCAAATATATGTGACAAATTTGTTTATATAAATTTAGCAAAATCTGTTTAAGAGATATCAATATTCCATCTTATAATTTTATACTTATCACTTATTGTTATTGGTTTACTTTCGTTCTTCGTTCAAGTTAAAACTTCAGCTTATGATAACGATTTTGAATGTTTGGCAGTTTTACTTATGGCTATTCAAAAATGAGCCATAGTCTTCAGTTATATCATAGGCATTTTACGATAATGCTACATCTTATAATTTTATATAATACATAGAAATCTTCACTGTTTCTTAATTTCACGAGAACTTTCAGAAATTTTCGACTCGTCTCCGAGGCAAAGAGAGAATTTATCAGAGTACTTATAATAATGTTTATATTTCCTAAAATTTAATATGGAAATGGCAAAGAAATGGAAGCAATAAAAATGATATTCTCGAAAAGTTCAACTAAGCTTATACAAGAGTATCAGTGATAAATAGATGATATCAGCAATGAACAGTTTAATTAATGAATAATAGAGTGATAATGACAAACGATTGCTTATCAGGAATCAAAGAAAAAATCATTCAATGAAGATGAAAAAAATTTATGAAAATTCCCGAACTCTTTCAGTAAACTAATAGACCCAAAATTTCGTTTTATTTCAATCTTATTACTTACCAGACAGGTTATTTGTTTTAACTATTTCAATAATTAGAACTTATTAGCACAGCTTTCCTGACCAGTCTTTACGTAAAATTAAACTTACTGATTCTATAGTTTAAAAATTGCATTTTAAAATGTCAAGCACATTTCAAGAGTAACTGCTCTGGAAATATGCACATAATTTCACCGTTCCAAATGATCGATGTAGTTTTTAAATTGCTGAATTAAAATGACAAGCATAACTGCTATGAATTCTCCGTCTGCAACACTAAACTATTCTCTCATAACGTCTACACATATTTACCAGTATGTGTGTACCTATTTACCTATATGTCTATTGTAGTTGTAAATGTGCTGCGTTTGTCAACTTTGTTTCGTTTTATTAGAGGCATATAAGCAAAAAGATAGTAGGGAAAATGAAAAATATACAAATTAAACGTGATATAAATAAAAGACTAGAACAGAATGAGAAAAGATGAGCTATGCAGAGTTGATCATGGCGAGGAATTAAAGTAGCTGGCTATAAAAGCAATGAAGCAATCCCATATACTAGGCATAGCAACGATAACAGAAGATGGAAAGTTTTGAACAGATGAACTCTGTATATTGGCAATGAAGTCAGTCTTTCAAAACATTTTCACTTGCTGATTTTTAATCTCCATCTTATGAAATGTATCATTTGTTTCACTTTCAAATTCCAGCAAAAAAATCGTGGCTAAAGTACCATATAAATCACAAAATGATGTATATTGTACAGATTATGCTATAGTGAAGCAATTAACAAACACTACAGCTGGAAAACATTGACTAATATATATATATCAATTATTTATCTTATCACTTTAACATCACCTAAAATCATTTCCATCTAGGTCAACAAGCCATTCGACAACGCGAAAACTCGAAGAACGAATGTTGGTGAAATCGAACAAATCAACCAGTCGTGCATAAAACATAATTGATGTAAACTACATATACACTAATTATTGTAAATGTTGCAAATATAAGCATATCATTTGTAAAAAAAATTATTACAGAGATCAAAGAAAGAGATAAATGAAGGGTTCTGCAGAGAAAAAAGATTTATTATCAATCATTCGCAGTACTTCAACTAATGAATTTGAAAATTTCTGAAATTAATTAAAAACCGGTAATCTAGGAAAAAAGTACATATCAAACGACTGAAATGGTTTGACGGCTAACAACGTGAGTTCTTTCCGAATAATGCACTGTCGCACTGCAATGGCATCATAAAGGAAAAATACGGAATAAATAAGTAGGGGATGACTGATATCTTTTGAAAATTTACAGCAATTTTATGGCAGTAGATATTCACTTATTATACAGGTGAGCAAGGGAATAATAACTTTTTATATTTTCAGCTGGGAATATCCAATCAAGATTTTTTTTTTGTTGAAATACCCAAACAAAAAATGTAATCAGAAGATTCCACTGAGATATTATGATTTAGGATTAATATGGCAGAAAATAATGGAAAGTATAATCTAAAACCCTAATGATTACGAAAATCTCATCTAGTTTGGTTATTATAATAAAAATATAATACAAAGATATCGAAAAAATTAAAAAATATTACCGGTACATTATTTTAAATGTCTGATAAAATTCCTAAACGACTAAAATTCCAACTAATTAATCAAATTATTAACTTATTTACATAAAATCGACATGCACGTTTGCCAAATTTTAAACGAGCCATGACTTTTTAATATCAATTATTCTATTTTTCTGGGTGCATAACCCATGCCTTCGGCAAAAAAAATTAATGAAAACTACAATTCACTAATTTTACATTTGTAAATAAAACCAGCTCGAAATTAATGATTTCTTAACAAATGCAAATGGTACTACTGAAAATATGGATTTTAAATATAATGTGAATTACGATAAAATGATTAATATATCAAAGAGCACCTTAGTGGAATTAACTGCTCATCATGGAAGCTACAGAGAAATATAGCAGAAAATAAAGTTTGTCTATATATATCAATAATAAAACAAAACAAAAAGAGGTTCGAATACTCATTTTTGATTTTTTTTTCAGCTACTAATTTCTGACCGAATCCAAGTTATTATCCTTTTGGAAGCTGATAATGGTTGTTCGGTGCCACGTGAAAAATTCGCAGCTGCTTCGAGAGTTAATCGATCCCTTTCATCTATCTCTTCATCTCTGCAAATATTTTCATTTTATAGCTTACAAAAACATAACAAAATCAAAGTGTTCCATTTTACAATCATGGAGGAAAATAATACTGAATAAGCAAAATACAACAAGGTAAATAATAATCAACTTAAGATGGGAACTTTTATGAAAAATTCAGAAAATTACCGGCTAACATATTACATTACGATTAACATGGCGGCTAACATATTACATTACCTTCCTCCATGTTTTTTGTTATTGAAATATGTTTGACACTAAAAAAAGCAACATTTCGATTTTGGAAAGTTAGATTTAACAAAACCAGTTATCCGATAAAAGCTAGCGAGAGGCTTACTCGGCTTCATGGCTAATCAACTTCTGTGATAAGCGATCTTTTTTGTTCACTAACGCAACCAAATCATCCATCATTTTATCAATCTTCTGTTTGTCATCTTCAGTCTTATCAATTTCTACAAATGAAAGCTGTATGGTACGCTAAAAAACACTTTTTCTATCATTTTTTTCAAGCAAAATTATTTGAAGCGACCAGTCCTTTAGTGCTAACAAAAATCAGGCATTGCGGTGAAGATCGTCTCCATCTTGAAGAAGGAATTTTTTAACAGAAAATATGCCGATAGTTTGTTAGAATGATAAGGAACAACAGAACGACTTCAAGAAAGCAACAAAATTTAAAATCTAAAAGAAAATTAAAACATTTAAAATACTGAATCCAATACACAATAAACTGATGAGCTTACGATCAATAACAGAAGCAGAGCCTAATTTACGCTGCAATTTTGTTATTTCATCTTCCACCTCACGTAACTGTTCCAGAACATTAAAATATTCCGTTCGTCTAACAATGGCATCTTTTTCTGTAAGTAACCTCATATGTTCTTGCAATAAACGTTCCTCTTCTTCCGACGAAACTTCTGGAAAATTGAGAGTTTGACAAACCTTACTGATTACGTAGTTGAGAAATTCGACTTTTTCAATATTCCTTCAGAAAACCAAAAGCGAATACTAAAGTATAAAACAAAATGAAACAAAATCTAACTTGCTTTCATAAGTTGTGAACAGATAATTTCATCTTCACCAGAAACTTGTGCCAAACGTTTCGAAAGGCAGTTTAACTCTGCCTGAATCTTTTCCAAGTCCGCTCCATCTTTCTTAAAAAAAACATTTTAAATAAATTTACCAACCAAATATAGCCGAATACTTCAAGAATTATTTTATATATAGTAGGATTGAAAAGAACAGTGTCAGCCTAGCCAAGTTAGACAGACTCTCGATTACACGGAGTCCTAAAAAAGAAAAGCCCAGTTGAGATAGTGAATAAAGTTTAGGAGAATCCAAAAAACAAATGAAACGCGAACTGGAAAGAACTCACTTCCCACTGAGAAATCAGTTTTCGCGTTGGTGTTGCATTTACAGGATTAT